CGTTCGAATGGACAGAAATGCTCCTGCTCTGAAAATATTCAACGCGGGCCGCGATGCTGGTAACAGGGAAAGAAGGAAGGCCTCCTCTGCGTTGGAAATACCAGGCGGAGAAGGACTTGGCTTCACTTGGCATTTCCAATTAGCGTCAGTTAGCACAGAAGAGAAATGACTGGCGTGCTGTTTTGGACTCGGCCAAAATCGCTTAGGCGGTTACAGCGCCAATAAAGAAGAAGAAGAACAAGTAGTTCACATTGGAGACTTGGTGGATGGGACCAAGGTGGATTTGCCAAAATGAGCAGCATTGGCCAATTCAACCCGCAAAACACAATCCCGTTCACGAGCAAAAACCAATATGCAATACTACCAAATTCAAGGAAGAGCCACCATTTACTGATGTATTCTTGCTTAAGTATTCGCACATTAACACCCTTGTTGCGGTCACAGCGTGGTGCCATCGTTTTTTTATGTTATTATGAAGGAACCCCACAAGCCAAAAAACAAACAAGGCCATGAAGTTTTGGATAAGGTACGTGGAACGTACTAATTTTTTTAACTAATTTCGTCCCTACTTAAAGGAGAACCGATACATGTGAAAAGCACACTTTGTCAACATGAGCCCATGCTCGACGAAGAGAAAATACTGCGAGTCAATGGGCGAATAAAACACTAATTTTTATCGTTCGAGGAGAAATTCGCAATTATGCTTCCGGAGGAAAACCCATTCTGTCGGCTGGTTCTAGCTCATCGCTTAACGCCGCTTAATCACAAAGGACAACAGTATTAAATTATTAGTTCTCGCTCCGCTATACTAATCCATAACTGCGTGCGGCGCTTTCGGCAGCGACCCAAACGAACGAATCAACTTATAGGTAGCTTGCCGGAGCACCGCTGTACATCAGCCAACGCATTAAGTCGATGTGGTATAGATTATGGCAGTCCTTTTATGTTGCACTCTTCGTATGTTATAGCACCCGCGCTGTTCATCTAGAACGCTGATGTAGATGCGTATAATTAGCAGATGAAGGCTGCCGGGCAATTCTGCGCTACGCAGGGTGTTACCAGGGATTCAAACCACCTGGCCCGCCGACTTTCGGTGGCCTCTGGGAGGCGGGCGACAAGCAGATGAAAAATCATTAAAAACGAACTATTGGAGATGCAGCCTTAACATTCGAAGAATCTTACACCGTTCTCAAGCAAGCGGAAGCGGTGCTTAATTCAAGTTCGATTCCGGCGTTATGTGATGATTCTACCTACTTTACTGCGTTGATACCTGGACACTTCCTGGTAGGTAAAGCACTTATCTCCAGTCCAGAACCGAATCTTTTAGAAACAAACATCAATCAGCTATCGAGATGGAAACAGCTGCAGCAGATGCAACAAGATTTGGGGCACGTTGGAGCACAGAGTACTTGGTGGGGTTGCAAGTTCGACATAAATGGCAGTACCACACAAAAAACATCAACGTGGGGGATTTGGTGCTAGTTCGAGACGAGAGGACCGCACACATGAATTGGCCTTCGGGCGCATCCTGCAAGTCTATACTGGAGCAGATGGTCTCGTAACAGTAGCTACTATTCGCACGCAAGGTTCCACCGTAAAACGAGCAACTTCGAAGCTTGCTGTATTACCATTGGATACAACCATTGAACCTGGACATGGTGGGCGGAATTTAGACACGGTGGTCGGCAAGGTGGCATATAGTTCGTCAGAAGTTGACGAGGTGGGAAGGAAATGTTAGAACGTAACCCTGTTTATGCTACATGAAAACACAGCAACTCAATTCCTCGCCGTTGTACCATGCAAACAGCTACATGCTGGGAAACTGTACGACGGGCACTCACCACCGGGCTGTCACATTGTTGTTGTCTATTCCTTCTTCGTTTCATCAGCGTGTGGGAAAGTAAGTTGGTATTCTACAGCAAAGTACACTTTAAAATAAGGAATAAACTAAAGAATATTAGAACCAATTTTGAGGGCGTTTCATTTTCGTTTACAACTTTAACAGTGATGATATCGTAGGAAAAATTATAATTCATTTTAATAAGATTATTTTTGTAAAATGAAATAATATAAGTAATACAATGCATATTTGGGCGGAAGTTCAAACTTATACGGATGCAGGTAGCAGAAAATTGTTTTCCGATCGTGGGTGCTCAGGTGAAAGCCGGTGAGCCATGGAGGCAGCCTACTATGAGTATAGTGGGACCGACACGTGGCGTGTGTTGTTCGCACTGCGGAAGCCGCATTATTTGTTCGGTGAGAACAGCACCTGACTTAAGTAGAGTTTGTAATCGTTTTTGGCATACGCAGCAGGTGTGGGTTCTAGTCCAGGGTTTGACTCGATGTCAGCCATGATCAGAAGAATACAGAGTAGATTTTTGCCCATGGACGAATAACGTTTAATAGATTTCGCCGACTAAAGAGGGTGAGATCGCGAAAACAACAGAAATTGGTCGGGTACAATCCAAGTCATTCTGTTACGTAGAACCGGCTGGCATGGGAATGCCATACTATGAATAAGAGCTTGATATCTATCTTAATTTTATAGTATGCTACCGAATATATCTTTCGTTAAGTTGGTAGTTAAAATTGGTAAATATGTTGGAAGGTATGGTGCATACATACCTGTTGTCTTTATGTGAAAAATAATTGGCATTAACAGAAGTATAGCCCACGTAAGCCGATGGTACATGCCTGAAATGGGCTCCATCTGGAAAAGAAATCGTAAACGATTAAATATTCAAATTATCATCAATATTTCAAACTTTGTAGAACATGTATAAAAATTCGGCGATTTGTAACAAATGTTGATCAAAATTTTAAACCTTTCAATCAGATTTTCTGGAATTGGCTTGAGTGTGTAGTTTTGCAGCCCGCTAAATTTTAGTACAATAAAGGACAAGTTTGAAGTAGTACCCTAGATTTTTGGCAATTTTTCGTCCGCGCATTTTCTTCCATCCAAAGTACTACGTTCAAATATTTTTTTTGTATGGAGAAAATTAGCAACACCTTCCACAAAAAAATTTACCAAAAATTAACGGTACTCATAATGTTTCGAAGAAATCTGACTAAAAAGCTCAAAATATTGATGAATGTTTGCCGAATTTCGCTCATTTTTGTTACAGATGTTTTTAAAGAATGAACTATAAAAAACTAACCAAAATTAAATAACAACAAAAATAATACTTTACAACTTGTTACAATTTGGTGCGGCTATAATTTCTCGACTACTGTACATAAGTTGACTATGGTTACTCGGCCGTGCTATCATAGTAACACTATGTCGCTAATATTGGACTTACAAATTAAAATAGGGCACGAATTTCAAAATTTCAACCCTTTTTGTGTGAAATATTTTATTTTTGTCAGTATTTTTCTTTTTATCAAACTATGTTGAAATAATAGTGAAAATAAAGAAATATTTTGTCAGAACCCCCTAAAAACGAGGGAGTAAGAAATTCACAAATTTGTTGCGTAATTTTTTGCGAAAATCGGAAGCGAGGTTAAAATTAAGCAAAAATATGTAAGTTGATGTATATTTGGAGTTGATGTGTATTTGGTGTTCTTTTAAACAGATAAATTTTCCTTTCGCATATATGTAGTATTTACGTATTCTTTTATCCACTGTTTTATATGAAGGAACAATTAAGGACGTTTGTTGCCACATATATATAAACTTTGATTATCATCAGGCCAGGTCAGGGGCGGACCCAGCAGCAATTCTTGGGGGGAAACCTTTTTCAACATATCGCACGTTTAATAATATAACGAAGTATTTTAAAATTTCAATTTTGTGGGAAAACGCAATTCAATTCAATTTTCATACAAATATTTTGCATTTATGAATTGGTATCGGGGCGAAATCTATAATATGTTATGTTATTGATATTTAGGTATTCACCTATTGCAAATAACAGTTTGTCTAATAAGCTATCAATAATCCTAGATGTTATCTTTATTAATAAGTGCCTTGACCCTTTATCGACTCCCGGTCTACATCATGTTCCGCTTATCCTTCAATTAGAGTTTTATGAGTTTAGTTCTCTTTTAGCGGAAAAAAATTCAACTTTTGATGTTGTAAATGATGCGGTTTCATCCGTAGACTGGGATTCGTTATTTGTGACGATGTTTCGGATTGTTTCGATACTTTTAAACAAGAAATTAATGTAATCTGTGTGGATAATATACCAATAGTGCATAAAAAGATCTATAGGGTTCCCTGGTATAACAAAGAACTTAAGAAATTGAAGGATTTAAAAAACAAGTTTTTTAAGAAATTCAAACTTTCAAATTCCCTATCTCACAAGGATAAATACTTGCGATACTCTAGAGAGTTTAAGTCGATGAGTAAGTCTCTTAAATACCTTTGGGCCTTCAATGAAAGAAGTAGCAGCTTGGAAAAAAGTACGTGAAACATCCTCACAGTAATAAGGTATTAATATAAAATTTTTCTCAGGTATGGCTAGATGATGAATGCTATATCAAACGAAAGTTAATGTCCAATACAGCAGAAGCAAGCGCAACATGTGGTGGACCTAACGAAATGCATATTTTCAATGACTTGGAAGCTGTTATTGCATTAACTGGATTGATAACCAGTTCTTAGTACATAGATGGATCCATGGTTACTATGCGCGACAGCTCCGCATCCCAAAGGCAATGAAGCTCTAGTATTGGCAAAATTTTTGGAATACATTGCCACAGTGCTCTCGTTCTCCGCTGCTACAATTTCAAATGCAACAGAATCCATCACTCAAAATATGTAAAATCAAACCACTTTACAATAAATTAGTATTTGATGAGTGTTTTTTTAAATTCCCTTTCACTTTCTTTTCCTTCATATAGCTTACTTCGAAAAACAACTGATAGCTGGCAAAACTGCACATATTTCCGCAAGGGTTGCAGCGGGGGATGAACAAAGGTTGGAAATAAAACAAATTTTGCCTATTTCCCATTGCTTATTTACACTATTTGTAATAAAAACAGTTTACTGACAGAAGGAAAAGAACTTTGTTTATTCCAAAAACACAATTAAACAAATAATTTTACTTATGAAAAGTTTAACAAAATATAGGGAAAGCGTCTAACTGCTCGGCGTTTTGTATGAATTTTGTCTGCATGCTTTTTAATATGTTGAAAACATTGTAGGAAAACCTTAAAATGGAACCATAGCGCAATAAACAGGTGAAGTAATAAAACAGCTTTCTCGCTTTATTTTGTGACATTCGGCTGCCTTATAGTCAAATTTTAAAGGCAATTTGTCCAATAGGGCAGTGTCAAAATCTTTCTTCTCTAATTACTTCACCTGGTAGAATTCCGCCATGGCATGGAACAAACAAAAGTTGTCGTTCCTGTTCGCAGCATATGTATAACACAGAGAATATTGATTTCAGTTTTATCTTCAGTTAAAATTTCTGCATTATCATCACTTGCTATATCCGAACTGTGGATTTCGTTTACGAAGGCGGAGCGAACATGTGGTACAAAATAGTGATGTAACAATATGTAAAATTTTACCTACTCTCAGACTTCATCTGAACCACTATTAGGGTTGCCAGATTTTTTATGCGCGAAATCAGTACATTAGACTTTTTCATGCTAAAAAAATCAGCACTTGTCAGTACATTTTTATTCAAAGCATAATTATGAATGTAAGTAACAGAAAATAATATAAAACGCCTGAGTTCTTGTTTTTAACAATATTTTGGTATATAAATAAAATATAGTTCATAAAAAATAAAAGCGTTATTCATTTTAACATGAGTGTACACATCATTATACACAGGAGCCAATAAATTATTTTATATTTGTGACTTTGAATATCAATAGCACTGTACGGCAAAATCAACTTTTTTCTGGGTAAGTATTGGACCAAACCAATTTTTTTTTAAAGATTGAGTCATAGGTAAAAAAGTAATTTCTCCGTTCGAAGTTCGAAATTGGACCTTTGGTAAAAAATTATTTTAAATTACTGTATGTAAACTACTAAACAAAGTAAAAACATAGGCGTGGTATTTAAAACAAGTTTGAACTGATTTAAAAAAAAATTAATATCGTCGCAAACGTGATTAAACCCGCTTTCTTCTGATATGCAATTTGTATACTTCGTTTGAATAAATCTGAGAAAAAACATTTAAATGGAAAAAATACCTTTTTTTCATCTATATTTCCTCGTGGCTTAAATAATTTTTCAACTACGCAAAAACTGTGAAAGTCTAGGAATTCGCTAAAAAGAGTATCTAACTCTATGTCTTGTATGCAAAACTATTTTACAGAGTCAGTAAATTGGGAAAAAGGAGTTGTAAGTTATAGGCAAAAGCCATTCGAATATTGAAATTCTTTGTTATTAAACTGAAAGTTATTTTCGAGATAATTAACATCATTCGAGAAAAATTTAAGCCTTTTCAAATAATTTAAGCTCCATCATATTATCGCAAGTGGTACGTAACGACCCGGCGACAGCCCATAAAACAATTGATCTTTTTGTTGTATTAATTTCTTGGGCATATCAAACATTATCTAAAACATGTCAACTATAATTAAATTATTTTCTTCATATTTTTTACAGTACAGTTTAAGGAAGTTCCAACGTTATGTAAAAACCTTAAGAAAATACTAAAGTATTTTGTTTGATTAGAAAATTCAGTACAAATCAGTACAAATTGTGAAAAAAAGGGCATTAGTGTACTGATTGAAGAAATGAATAAAATCAGTACAAGAGTTGAAAAATCAGTACTGTACTGATAAAATCAGTACGTCTGGCAACCGTAACCACTATATTAAACTGTCAATGTTTCTATTTACACAAGATTGTAACTGTCTGCTTGATTATACTAAGGACCGAGAACGCGTTCCAGTTTTGGTTTAGTGCTGCATAACATCAAATGTAATGTAACGAATGTTCCCAAATAAGAACCAAACGGGAACAAAAGTACAAAATGAGAACAAAACTCTCGGGGACGTTCTCAAGAAAAACAGAATGAGAAAAAAACTATCGGAAATGCTTCCAATGAAAACAAAATTAGAACGAATTAGAAAGTATCGATAACGTTTTCAAGGAGGATCAAATAACAAAAAAAAGTCTAGGGAGCGTCCTTCTTGAGAATAAAACGAGAACAAAAGTTTTATAAACTTAATGTTAACAATGAGAGGGGCGTCAGCGTGTGGGATGAAAAATCCTTTCAATGAGAACCATGGTTGTTAATTCTAAACCAGAGGAAAGCTGGATCATGTCAACTCTCAGATTGTTTATCATTAGGGTGAACTGTCCATTTATGGAACATCTTTTCATTTTCAGTGCAAGAAAAGTTCATGTCTTAAAACTTTCGTTGACTTAATTTGCTCGATTTTCTTTCAGTTCTATTTGATTAATTTTAATATTCAAATATTTCAAAATAATGGAACGCTACACAGAGCCAAAAGTACCTAATAAAATTAATAAGATTGTCTCTATGAACAATTTTTAGGCTGAGGCTCTTTGGTTTGCCGCCAAAATTCTTATTGATAATATTAAGAATATTTCTTCGTATTTTCTTGAGATTCCTTTTCATATATGTTATTTATACGAAATTCTTATTATTTCCTCTTGATATGTCTGTCAAAATAGGGGAAAAACGGAAAACCGAGAAATATTGTTATTTCTCTAAGATATCTCTTTAGAAATATTAATAAGAAAAATCATATTAATCACATAGTTAAAACGCAATTAGC